ATCCTCCTCTGTCCTTTGGCCATTTCAGGTTTGTCCCGGTGTCCTCCATCCCAATCATACAAGCACTAGCGCAATGTTAGTCTTCATTTTCAAGGTAAAAAAGAAGTTGATTGAACAGATTTCTAAGTTAAAGGTGCACAACGGCAAAAGTACTGTTTTTCCTCCGTGCTCCTTCAATCGCTTTACATATAGCTCGCCGTAATTCTGTCAACGCGTTTAATTTACTTGTCCAGTGTTTACAGCTAAGGGATGGAACACAGACTGCTCTTCAGTGTCTCCAGTGATAGATATATTTAGATCGTTTTATTATTTCTGATCTTAGTATTTAACAAAATGATTGGTTGTCTAAGGTTCTGCTTATAACAGGAAGGCGAGGAAAAAGCAGTGTTCATTATCAACATTTTCTGCTAGTTACTGCTGATTTTTATGCGTTTTTTGTAGCTGTGCAATGCGGAGAACGCATATTGACGAGAGGTTGTCTGTGTGCGTTTGTGTGTGTGTGTGTGTGTGTGTGTGTGTGTGTGTGTGTCTGTGTCTGTGTCTGTGTCTGTGTACGCAGTGCCTCTGTACCGATTTTTTTTTTAGATTAAAGTAGCGAAGCCGACAACAATTGGCAATGAGCTGATTGAGGAGCCGTTTCGATGGGATCAGCGTCTCTATTCGATTGTCCTACGCCTTAGCGGTGATACACCGATTACGAGGATAGCTCCTGGTGTGAACATTCCCTCAGACAACAGCCCTATCGATGCAATGTGTGTTGCTACTGGAGGTACGTACAAACAATCAAATTTTAAATATCAGTTATTTTTTGAATTTTTACTACGCAAACAGATCAAAAACGAGTGCTGCAACGCCGGTTGTCGTGCCGAACTTCGGCGATTTAATTCTGCTGGCGAGGCAGCCATTTGCTTTACGATTCATTCATTCGTTTCGATGGTAAGCCGATTGTAGCAACCAGGCTGACCCCCGGGAGCCGAAGGGGCGAGGACGCGATTGAATACAGAAAGCAGGAAAAGTATGAGGAAAAAGAAGGCAAGAGTGAGATAAGACGTTTCGGTCCATTTGAAGTCTTATACGTCTTAACTAAACGTATACCGCGACGGGATCTCGACAGTATGTCGGTCGGAGCAGTGTTTAATGGAAAAGGAGGGGAAAAGAGAAAGACGAAAGGAAAGAAAGAGATTGGCAGTAAACTGATACTGGCATGCTTTGGGCAGACAAACCCGCTATACTAGTCTGCTTTTAAGCAATTTTCGAAAGATGGAGAAATTGCAGCCTCATTAGCCTGTAGTTGTTGCTGGCCGTATTATTTGCGTTTCATTAAAAGTGAATAATATTTTGAAGGAATTGCCAGTTCAGCGATTTGCCGAGTAAAAGTTGGGAAAGTTTAGCTATTTGAAATTGCCGTTAAAATGTGTTTGCATTGCTGCCTTGTCTCAGGTATTGCCTCTGCTAGACCGTGATGAGGTATTTTGTCGGAGCTTCGTCAGAAACTCGCTTTTCCTCTCCTGAACTTATTTTTTTAGAAAAAATGAATAGAAATTTATATATTTTTGCTTTCCAGGACGCTCCTATTGCATCACTTCACATAAAATGTTGTCCAGTTGTATAGAATCAATTATCCAGAAGCTGCAGCAGCAGGGCATTGTTTTGCATTTCGAAAAAATTGGACCCGATCCTCCGCCAATTCCTGGTACTTTTTTGAAATTTACTGATTTTTCTCAACTTTTATATAGTATATGCAGCCATATTTTTTCATACCAGTCAGCTTTTTCCAATTTTGTTTGCACTACGGCCACCCACCAGTACATCACACCAATCAGTTATCCGCAGTGCGAGGGAGCACCAAGGCCAAACTTATTTGGAACATGTTTTCACATTTTTGAAAAAAAAAGTGGAAACGTAAAAAATGAAAGACAAGAAAAAATAAAACCAAAAACAGGATAAAATTAAAATCTAATGCAGATAACTTTTGCCACTGCATGTTTGCTTTTATCAAATAGAATATGTTTTCACATTTTTGATCAAATTTAGTAAATAAAAGAAAAAATAGAAACAAAATAACGAAAAAAGAAAAAATAAAATAAATTAAAAAAAAATGAAAACGTAAAACAATGAAAGATAAAAAAAATAAAACCTAAAACAGGATAAAATTAAATTCTAACACAGGTACTTTTGCTCCACTGTATTTTTATTTTTATCAAATAAAACATGCGTCACATTTTTGGTCAAATCTAGTAAATATAAGAAAAAATAAAAGAAAAGAAAAAGTAAAATAAATTAAAAAATAAAAACGTAAGAAAGGCAGACAAAATAAAAGCATTAAAAAAAACTTAAAACAATGAAAGGTAAGAAAAAATAAGAACAAAAACAAAATAAAATTTTAAAGTCAAGGAAGGTAAATACGATTAATACATTAATTTACAAGAAAACAAGATGTTTTTATATGAGCTTCTTTTTTTTTGTAGATCGAGCAAACGGTCTAGTGGAAAATTGCAAAAAAAATGGTGAATTGAATTTGGAAAAATTGTCCGGTGCTGAAAATTGGCGTAGCATTACATGTAGTGTATATTCGCGTGCATCACGTTCCTATCCTGGCCATTGGCCAATCCCAGAAGCGTTCTGGCCTGATCGAAACATGTTAGTTGTTTTCACTTTTATACTTTTATATTTTATGTACACGTTTTTCGTGGAACTGTGTTGGTATTTTTTGCAAAAAAGGTATGACAATTTTTTAGTAATTCGTCAGAATAGTGCTTCTTTAAATATGCAATACTTCGCCGGGTAAATATATCTCATAATTTTCTAGAAAAAAAGTCTAAAAACCCCTTGCCAGATGCTTCTGTAGGGATAGCCGTTGGGCTGAGAATCGTTATAGGTTACGAAACGAACGTTAGGATTGCCAGCAAGCTGATCACCAGACAATGCAGCACTGGTCAAAGCAACTGATTAAAAATTTTCAGTGGTAGAAATGGAATAAAAGCCACAGGCTATGAAATTTTTTATCTGTTTGGGTCCTTGGCTAAATTATGAGGCAACTGCGTTGAGCATTATTCAAAATTTTTCTGCTACTGCAAATGCATTTGCGCATTTCTCCCGGTTTTTTTAGGACTGGAGTTCTTTGGTTTTCACTCCGGCTCGAGTTACCGCCAAGAACTCAACAGTCGGTGAGAGATGTGGTGATCTTTGATCACCTTAATTCAAATGATCATTGAATTTCTCTTGTTCTTAAATAATTTTCTAATATATTTCTGCAAAAAAAAAAATCTTTTTTTTTGTTTCTTTAAATAATTTTTTGAAATATTCCTTTAAAAAAAAAATACCTAATCAGTTCCTCTGAAAATT